AAAGAGGAGATGAGGGATCCAGAGTATGTTAGGTGTGCATGAGGAGTCTGTAACTGCCACTCCCAATCGCTTGCATCAACAGGCATAATGATTGTTCCCTCTTGATCAAAAATTGGCATGTTTTGTGGAGCTTTTATAAGGCACATGCGTTAATTCAAGGATACTTGGTGTTTCTTTCAAGCTGCAAACAGGTAACGCCAAGGCACCATTTGTAATTCTACCTGAAATGATATCCTTATTTGCATGGTAACTCTCACACAGGTTGTAATCAATTCGTGTTTGTTATTAGCATGTAATATAATATTTGATATGTGCTGTTTAGGTGCATGCATGTTTATTAGCATTTAGGCGTGGTCTGATGAGGGTTAAATTGGTGGTCTACTTGAATTGATTTGTTGCTGGTTTCTCTTTTCATATTCGCATCCAAAATCCTCTGGATTTAGTTGCCTTTTTATAGTTTCAGATTTTTCTTTTTTCGGATTTCATGCACTCCATGCAAAGAGCTTGCGAAAATATATTAGGAGGATAGGGTCACTATTCTACTCATGATTATTACCTGGTTTCACAAACGAGTTGTCCAAGCTAATTTTTGCTGTGTCAGACATGCTTATGAAGATAATAGATCAGCAAACTCTAGCACCCTGATGGCCAGCCTGCTGTTGATTTTGTCGAACTCTTTGCATTGTCCTTATTGTCTACTTCTTCATTGTCATCTTTTCTCTCTCTCTCTCTCTGAGTTTTTGCCAGCATATTGTCATTAATTGTTTTGTCACTTGTGGTTATGCTATCCAATGGTAAGATTTGTTTTTTGAAGCATTCAAGAAGCTCCGCCGCTGGAATCGCCCTAAAATGTCTTCATGGAAGGATGAAAGCAAGATGAATCAAGTGGATGGGAATATATTGTCGAGTTTTTGTGAGGAACGTTCATTTCTCTTTTCCCTCGGACCGAATGTATGCCTCTAAGAGCGCTTTGATTTTAATCAGGTCAGTTGATTAGGTTGTGCAGGTGTAGTTAATGGTTTTTCAAAGAATCAATATTTTGTAGGATTGGGGTCCTTAATCTGTTGACTGTTTGATATTTAGGTTGGATTGTCCAGACAGTGTGCCAGCTTACATACACGGTTGGGCGGCACTGCTTCTTTCAGTGGTGGGAGGTCAGTTCTAATGTTCCTGATGCCCTCAGAAATGAAGATTGCTTGAAAGTTCACAGAAAAAGAAGATCTACCATCAGTTTATTCAATGTAGCAACTGACTTCTTAATTCAATGATGTAAACCATATTGTATTCATCTCACCTTTCAGTCAACTGTCAACTATCTGCCTTGTGTTGTCATACAGAGAGCTGTCAATAAACTACATGGTTTAAAATTGATTTTTTTCCAATGTTGTTGTCTAGGTATATATGACCCTTCATGTGGCTAAACTCGCTGTTTCAACCTGCTTTTCATTTTAGGCAAACACAAAAAGGCTGCAACCTGTTTCCACATTGTTGGCAGCTTTATTGGTGAAGAGTGATGAATTGCGGGATCTGGCCTGTAGGCCTTCATCACCTACTTGAGTCTATCCATATACAGCGGGATAAGGAGGTTTTTGATGTGATGAAACTGCCCATTGCAGATACTCAGCATCATTGGGTCTGTGCAATGACTCCGAAAATTCGCTTCTGAAACAAAATTAAAGGAAAAAAAGTGTCAGGAAATATTCTCTTCAAGAAGAAAGTTATGACAAGGAAGAAAATTTGTTTGAGCTTCCAAGAGAAAGTTATTTACCAGGAAACTTGAAGATGACACGTGGATGAAGTTTTTCTTTTAACAAAGGCGACTCCACATGAAGAGCAAGATAAAGCAACTTGAGTCGGGATTTGTATGCACTTTCTCCTTCTCTTTTAGTGCATTCTGCAATATATAATCTAAAAATATCACCCCATGATGTGTCTGGTAATTATGCAAGTTCATATGAATCACCCATATGTTCTGTCCCAGAAAATCAACTGGCTATTCTAATAAATCTAAACTATTTGTTTGTTGTCTGCTGCTTGAAAGAGTGCAAAAGATTAGAAGGCTTTGATCACATATTTGTTGATATCTATTATTTTTTCAATTTTTTAGCTGGTTTACCTCTACTTTCCATACTCATGCTTGTTGCAGTGCTATAATCTTGTTACTGCTGTGTTTGTTTTGTAGTTCAGCAACCACGGGTTTGAAGAAAAGAAACTGAAAATTAATGTCCACAGACCAGTGGGGACCAGAGTTGTCTTTGACGACGAAGGCAACACACTGCCCCCACTTGCAACATTAGCTGATGTGAAGAGTGGCGATGACTCAGTTCAGCTTGACAAAGACACAGGTATGTTTGATATTCCTCGGTCATTGAAGAAAGGTTAAATTAGTGGAAAGACATTGGCAAGGCTTTTATACAATAAAGAATAATTAACAGAATATCTAAAAGGAGAAATAAATATCTTAATCTAATTAACTTCATTCCTTCTGGTGGCATATTCTGAATGATTCAAGAAATTTAAATGCGCCACATTCCACGGACTCTTGTGAAATTTTGGAATTTTCAGAGATACCCGTGTCGACACAACATGACATGGGTGCGGGTGTGGGGATATGGCTTTACAACAGATCCCGGCTTATGTTTGCCCTAAATACAGAAGAAATGAAGATGAGAGGGCAAGAGTGAACCTGGACGCCGACTTCCTCTGGTCGCTGGCTTCGATCTTGGCGTCCAATATCGATTCCTCACTCTCGATCGTTGTTTTTCTTTGATCTTCTCGACCTCGTTTTCGATCAAAATGTCGTCTTCTATCTGCTGTCTTCCCAGTCGATTCTCTCTCTTCTCTCTCTCTCTTTCTCTCTTCTCTCTCTTTTAATATATGCTATAAATAAATCATATAAGTTGTTATATAATAAATGTAATTAAATCATATATAATAAAAAATCTAATAAAATCTATAAAATAATTATTTATTTTTTATTTATTTTAACATAATTATTATTCTTTATTTGTTATAATTTTTTTTTATTTAAATATATATATCAATTAAAAGTAAAAAAGTAAATTATATAGATAAATTAAAATATTATCAATAAAATAATACATAAGATAAAAAATAATATTATATTTAAAAAATAACTATTAATTCATCTTTATATAATAAATATTTTAAAAAATAACTATTTAACGATCTGTACTCTCTTGTATCTAAATTTGGATCCATATTCACGTATTCTTAATTTTTAGTTTTGAAGTGTCGGACCTTTAGATATGCACCCGTACTTGCACTCGATACACACACACCTGAGTCTGAGTCCGTGTAACGTAGTGCCTGCTTTTAAATGCATGACCATTAACTATTTAACTTTTATTTGATTTGCCAAACCATCCTGTCTGACCGAAAAACTGAATGTGCAAAATACGACTACGATTGCTTCATGTTGGGTTGGTGTACTTGACTCAATTCTTGGAATTTGTAGAGAATTTTGTGAAGGCTCTGACGTGTAGTTGTTTATTCACTTTCTATACGCGGGTGGCACCCTGGTTTAAAGATTTCATACTCGTCACCAAAAAAAAAAAAAAAAACACTTTCATCTGAAGAAAGTAGAAAAAATCTAATACATGCTTCTGCTTTGTTATGCCTCTTGAATGTTGGATTATTGTTATTATTTTGTGGCAGTAAGTAAAAGATATGCGGAGATGAGAGAAGAGTTAAAGCAGCACGATAAAGAAGACAAGCTTTTGGACCGTGAGCGTCGCAAAGAGAAACGAATGAAGCAGAAGATGAAGTTGAAAAGGGGACGGAAGGAAGAGGAGGATGATGAGGGGGAGGAGGATCTTTCTGGGTCAGATGGAGAAGCAACCAGGAATCGGGCCAACAAAAGATCGAAGAAATATTTTGACAGTGACAGTGATGATGCTGAGAGAAAGAGAGATAATGATAAACTTGCTATCAAAGCGGACTCCATTTCTTTGGCAGAGCAAGAGGAATTGGCTCTTAAGTTATTGAGTTCCATGCACTCATAAATTATTGATCAGTGTTGTCAAAAATTTTTGTTGACAATTTCCGATTGAAGAAAATTTTGTTGCATATTATATTTAAAGATCACAATATGAACTCAGGGAAAGAAGTAGGGGAGAAATTATCCTTGAGTTTTGTTATTGCAATGATGTTATAATGGAAAGCCAACATGAATTAACATTTTAGGTGTCTTTAATGTCATAAACTCATGTTATATGGTGCTTCGTCTTATTACAATATTTTTTGAAGTGAATTTGAGAGAGGGGAGATGGGAAAGGTGCATTGAAGTAAGTTTTTATCAATATTAATAATTAAAGTTATAATTGTTTTAATAAATTTATAATTATTTTTTAAAAATTATACTGAATTGTAATTGTCTTTTTAAAATTTAGAATTTAATTTTGGACAGGAAACGAATGGAAAAAAAATTACTGTGTTTGAAATGAATTAGGACTGAAAGAAAATTTTCTTTTCTTTTGGTTTAGTTGTTGAGAAATTGAAAAAGAAAAAAAAATGTAAACACAATAATACCTCTATTGCATTAAGGAAAATGTTAAAAACTTCCCATTGATTGAATTGTAATTTTTTCTAAGAAAAATGTTACAATAATTATTACAATTTTAATGTATATTCATATATTCTTAAATTATTTTATATAGAAATCTTGAGGGTTGTCTAGAGTGGTTGGTGAATGTTATCCCCCACACAATTACTCAAGATTTGATTCTTAACACTAAGATTTGAGAAAGTAATTTCTTGTGAATTTCTTAGTCTCAGTGTGGATGACCTGCCTTTGATGGGACTAGTGAGGGAATTAGTTGAGAACTTAAATTATTATTATTTTTATTTTTATTTTTATTTTTTTATAGAGACACCCAAATTCGTTACATTCTATATAGTATTTAATGTGGCATAATATGTCTAACAATTTTAAAAAAATAAGAGATGTTATACAAATCTAGAACTTTCATTACTAAATAGAAGTGAAATAAAATGATGAAATTAAGTTTGGTGATAAATAGTTATTTTTACATACTTTTCACATAATTTTATGCATATATCAAAATTAATTATTACTTTAGCATTTTTTTTTTCTTCATTTAATAGACAAAGTCAATGTCAAGTTGCAAGTTGCAAGTTTTTTCGTAATTGTCTCCTTTTTTTATCATTCAAGATCCCTGTTACACGTGAGAAGCTCATTAAACAATGCACCAGTTGAGCCACCTTACTTGCCTGTCATTCTATTCTGTTTCTATGTTCACACCACAACATGATCAGAAAAACGACATCCTATTCTTCAAAATAGACGGCATTGACTCTTGAAAGATGTGGAACTCAGCAAAGGTGATCTCCTTAATTCAAAAACTGACTCTGATTTCATCAGCAATTGTGGTTCTTGTTCTTGTTCTTTTTCTTGCATTCTTTTTTTTATCTCAAATTAGGAGCTAGCTACAGACATGACTCCTGTGAATATTGCAACTGTCATTTTAGCCAAGGCCGGCGAGTACCTGGTGGCACCCATTGGCAACCAGCTAAGCTATTTTCATGGCTACAACACCAACATAGAGAACTTTCAAAAGCAGCTTGAGAAACTCTGTGATTCAAGAACTCGCATCCGACAGTCTGTAAATGCAGCCACAAGAAACGGGGAACAAATTAAAGCCGGTGTCCAAAAATGGCTAAGAAATGCAGACCTGGTGATAGCAGAGGCAGAGGAGTTCAATTTCGAAGTCCAACTCAACAGAAGGTGTTTCAATGGGTGGTGTCCTGATTGGATGTCACGGTACAAGTTGAGCAAGGAAGCAATAAACAAGACAGCAACCATCGCGGAGCTTCATGGTAATGGCCAAATTGAGCATGTCTCTCTTCCAGCACCTCCACCAGGTATAGCATTCATTTCTGGCAAAGATTTTGTTACTGTTGAGTCCATTGAATCAACCATGGATCAGATTGTCGAGGCATTGCAGGACAGTGAGTGTGACATTGTTGGGGTTTATGGGATGGGAGGCATAGGAAAAACAACATTAGTTAAAGAAGCCGGGAAAAGGGTTAAAGATTTGGGCCTGTTTGATGAGGTTGTGTTGGCTGTTGTGTCCCAAACACCGAATTTGAGAAAGATTCAAGGTCAAATTGCAGACATGTTGGGGATGAAGTTTAGTGAGGAAAGTGAAATTGGAAGAGCAGGCCGGTTATATGGAAGGTTGAAGAATGAAGAAAGGGTACTCATAATACTAGATGATGTTTGGGCGAGTATCAACTTGGTTGATGTGGGAATTCCTCGTGGTGATGATCACAAGGGCTGTAAGATTTTGCTCACTACAAGAAGGGAAAGTGTTTGCTTGGTTATGGGGATTCGAATGAAGAAATTTCAAGTAAGTCACTTGTCAATAGAAGAATCTTGGGATTTATTTAGAAAGAGCGCTGGCACGATTGTTGATTCTTCCACTTTGAATGGTGTGGCAATGGAGGTCAGTAGAGAGTGTGGGGGTTTGCCACTTGCACTTGTAACGGTTGGGAGAGCGTTGCGTGACAAGGGCCTAGAGGAATGGAAAACAGCACTTCAACAACTCAAGAAGTCTAAGCCCTCGATTGATTAGTTGGAACTAGATCATGTTTTCTCATGTCTTAAATTGAGCTATGACTATCTTAGAAGTGAGGAAATCAAGCTATGCTTTCTGTTTTGTTGTCTGTTTCCTGAAGATCATGACATAAAGATTGAAGACTTGACTAGATATGGAATGGGGAAACGGCTGTTTAGAAAACAATAGAAGAAGCAAGAAAGCAAGCGCATTCCATAATCAGATACCTCAAAGCTTCTTGTTTGTTGCTAGACAGCGACAAGGAAGGCTGTGTTAAAATTCATGGCATGGTTCGGGACTTTGCAATATCAGTTGCATCCGAAGGCAATCATGGCTTCTTAGTAAGAGCAGGTGTTGGTTTGAAGGAGTGGCCGAAGAGGGAGACATTTGAGCACAACACAATCATCTCATTGACAGACAACAATATTCTAGAGCTTCCTGAAGGACTAGAATGTCCAAAACTCCAAATGTTACTACTGGGTGAGAACGAGGAGTTTGAGGTGATCCCAAATGAAGTTTTTGAAGGAATGGTGGGACTAAAGGTTTTGGATCTCAGTGAAAGGATTGGTGTTCACTCTTTACTTCCAGTATTCCCGGGCGCTTCTTCACACCGACCAAGGATCTTGACACTGCCATCATCACTCAATTTATTGGCAAATCTTCGGACTTTGCACTTGGATCGCTGCAGATTAGGTAACTTGTCTCTAATTGGAAAACTAAAGAAACTTGAAATTCTTAGCTTCTTTGTTTCTGATATCAAAGAGTTACCAATGGAAATAAGAGAACTGAGCAATCTGAGGCTGTTGGATTTAAGTTTCTGCCAAAAACTAAAAACCATTCCGGCAAATCTCTTATCACATCTGTTTCGTTTGGAGGAACTGTACATGGGAGGTAGCTTTAGGAAGTGGGAGGATGGAGGAAGTAGTAAAGCGTGCCTTGCTGAACTGCAATCATTGTCCCATTTGTCCATTTTATGCGTGGAACTCAAACATATGGGATGTTTTCCTGAAAATCTCCTCCTCCCAAGTTTGGCTAAATTTGAGATAACAATTGGGTACGATTCAATGAATTGTTATCCAAATTCAAGAAACTTGTATCTCAGAGACACTGCATTAGTCGAAGGGATTAAGGCCTTGTTTGGAACAACAGAAAACTTGACATTGTATTGCGCAACAAAGGGCTTAACAAATTTTCTCCCTGGCATAGATCAAAAGGGTTTAAATGGATTAAAAACTCTCAATATTATAAGTGCTGATGAAATGATCCATCTCACAGATACCACCAAATGGAATCCACCAATTGTATTTGCAGAGTTGGAGGAACTACATCTTAGGATTTTGGATGGGATGCCAGCTATCTGCAGTGGCTTCCTTCCCTCCGGGTCCTTCCAGAAACTCCGAATCTTGAAGATCGAATGGTGTTCTGCATTGTGGTATATTGTTTCAGACAATTTGCTTCCAAGGTTACAAAATTTGGAACAAGTCACAGCATATAATTGTGGAAACGTGCAGGCGATATTTAAAATCGAAGGAAATGCTTGCAAGGAAGAGAATTCCTTGCTCCTCTCTACTCTGAAAGTTTTGAGGCTAGAAAGTTTGTTTCATTTGATGTACATATGCAAAGGCTCCATCAGAAATGTGAGCTTCATGAGACTAACAGTTGTGGAGATCAAACACTGCCAGAACATTGCTCATCTCTTTTCGACTTCCATGGCTCAAAGTATGTTGCAACTGGAGATTCTCAAGATAGAAAGCTGTATTAGAATGGAGGCAATTGTTCCAAATGTGGAGACAGGGTTGGAGTTTCCGAACCTAAAAGAATTACAGGTGAAAAGATGCCTTGCAATGAGGACTCTATTCTCAGTTGCAGTTGGCAATGCTCAATCAGAAGGAGAAGAAAAGAAGAATATAATTTTCGCTCGACTGGACAGATTCCAACTCATAAATATGCCAGTCCTTGAGAGGCTTTGTTCTATGGATTACGGCGTTGAACTTCCATCTTTAAAAGAATTGGAAGTGGAAAAATGTCCTATGATGAAGAACTTTTCTGATTTTGGGTTCAAGGGTATGCCAAGTGCGGTGAAAATTCAAGTAGACGAGGATTCGGCTTTCCAGAAGGTATGCATTCTCTCTTCCAGTGAAACATTAATTGTTCTTAAACATTAAGAAGATTGATTTGGCATCATCTAAATTAAATGAATTTTCTCGACTTGACTACAATGGAATATTTGTCATATTTCTTGTTCTAACAAGTTTTGTTTGGATGATCTGGATTGCAGTGAAGGCAATTCTTCAACAAGGATGGTTGTGGAAGTACAATTCTCAAGCAATTCTTAAACAAAGTTGGCGGGGAAACACTCTTTTAGGTCATTCGAATTTATGTAGTAATATTGTTCTGGCTAGGGATTTTCCGTGTGCCTGTTGTAAACTTGTGGTTGATTTTGTAATTTCAACTCAATAAATCATATAATACTGTCTGATGCGGTTGTGTTGTTATGTTGGTGTATTATAGCCATCTTATTTTCCATCATGCATAAATAAAATGTTCTTCACTTGTTAGGATCAATGGTTCCATTCACTGGTAGTTCAATGAAACACGTTTTTCCTTAAAAAAGAAAGCAATTGTGTGCTCCATTGATGCCTCAAGGTAAAGATGGGTGACTGGGTGACCTAAGTGCATGTGACTCTCGCTAAAGTAGAGTCTAAGAAGGGCAAGATGTAAATTGATGCCTCAAAGTGTTGGAAATTATTGGGCGTGCAACCGATAATGAATTCCACTGTGCTTGGAAAAGTTTTATCATTAATCGTATAAATCTGCATAATGCAGCGCCTTCAAAAGCATTGCAAGCACAACTATAAGCAACCTTGTATTCAAGGCAGAAGAGAACAAAACTACCAAGAAAGGTTGAATAAGTAATCCTTTTTGGTCATGTTTGTTTGGGTGGACATGAGCTTGGGATTGGACTAATAGTCCAATAAAATTACTAATCCAATGTTTGATTAAACAATTGAAGTACGGACTAATTATTTTAAACTTGACTATTAGTTAAGATAGGATACATAATCCAATGGATTTGTACCCCTAGGACTATTAGTCATGGGAATGCTAATCCAGTCCGCCCAAACAAACATGGCCTTTTAGTTTAGTTAATGGCAATCATGAATTAGTTTTATTATATATGTCTTGAACATTAGAGCTTTATTAAACCTGAATTCAACCCAAAGCTTGAATTGTTCATCATTCTATCAGAATAATAATTAAAAAAAGAAATCTAGACCAATTCTCATATCATCATCTCAATTTGACTCTATGTACTAACTCCACCAAATGAGTATTTAACTATAGTTGTAAATTGTAATGATAAGTCTAAGTTATAAGCAAAGCGCGTTCTTCTCGTTTTCAATAGCACAGTCTTGACTATAGTGAAATAATATACGAGGAAAATGATGTCAACTTGCCCTGTAAAATAAAAATTAAAAAAAAGAAGATGATAGACCTATTTATTCTGTCTCTATGCATACAAGACTTTCATTCTCATATATGAGTTGGGTTTAGGTGTCATTGCTTCTGTCTCATCCATCCTCTTCACAAGACATTCCTCATTTCCTATAAATTGTCTATCCACAGACAGGTATGTAAACAGTCCTGATGAATATATAATTCATTTTATTCACCCAAAAATATATAATTCATTTCAATTTGATTTCTTTCTTTCTTTACTATGTTTGGGATTGCTTTCTTGAATCTTTAAAACCATGAAAAAATGGATTTCGCTGGGTTTTAAAACCTATAAGACTCTGATTAGTCGGGTAGAAGAGAATTGCAAGTTTTCGAGGTAAAAAAAGAAAAGAGATTGGTTTTTCTCAGGTTTTGGATTGGGGCTTCAGTGAATCTAACCGAGGCTTCAATTTATATACAGTGAGTGAATTTATGTTGCATTTTTTCACCTGAATCTTTTCTTTGGTATTCAATTCAACAAAGCTGGCAATCAAATTATTTTCTGTTTGTATGTGTGTGAGGGGAAAAGATGACTCTTCTGGTGGGTAAGCTAGTTAGAGATGACTCCTCTTCTATGTTCAAAATATCACTACTTACACATTTTCTAATGTGAATATCATTGCTCTGTTCATGTTTCTGAAATATTCTGTTTCCAACCAAAGCCAAAATATAAATATATATATATATATCGAAACAAAATTTATGATCTTGGTTGTTTCTTTGAAAATTTCCTAGAATCAGAGAGGTAGAAGGACCTGGGCATGGCTTTGGGTATTTTTGTTACCCTTCTGATGAAAGCTGGTGAGTACTTGGTGGAACCGGTTGGTCAGCAGCTGCGTTATCTCTTCTGTTACTACAAAAATGTGGAGAATTTCCACAAGGAAGTTGAAAAGCTTGGCGATATGAGGGATAGCATGCAGCAATGTGTTGAGGCAGCCAAAAGAAATGGAGAAGAAATTAGAATCGATATCCAGAAATGGTTAACAAACGTGGATGGAGTTTTGGCAGAGGTGGAAGGATTGGGCCATGAGCTCAATTCGAAGAAAAGGTGTTTCAATGGATTGTGTCCTGATTGGAGCTCGCAGTATAAGTTCAGTAAGGAAGCAATCAAGAAAACAGCAATCGTTACAGAGCTTCAAGGTGACATGAAGTTTGGAAATGTATCGGTCCCTGTACCTCCACCGAGTACAGAATTCATTTTAAGCAATGATTTGGTGACCTTTCAATCCACTGAATCAACTATTGATCAGATCATGGAGGCATTGCAAGATGACAGGTGTGATATAGTTGGGGTTTATGGAATGGGAGGGATAGGCAAAACAACTTTAGTGAAAGAAGTCAGTAAAAGAGCTAAAGATCTAAACCTCTTTGATCAGGTTTTGATGGCTATTGTCTCTCAAACACCAGATTTGAGAAAGATACAAGGGCAGCTTGCAGACTTGTTAGGTCTAAAGTTTTCAGAGGAGACTGAAATTGGAAGAGCAGGTCGACTGTATGAAAGACTGAAGAAAGAAAAAGGGGTTCTTATAATACTAGATGACATTTGGTCGAGTATTAACCTTGCAGAGGTAGGAATTCCCCGAGGTAAGGAGCACAAGGGCTGTAAGATTATACTCACTACCCGACAAGGACATGTTTGCAATACTGCTATGGGGGACCATATGGAGAAGGTTCCGGTTAGGCTGTTGTCTACAGAGGAATCATGGGATTTGTTCAGAAAGTATGTAGGAGGAGCAGTGAACAATGCTCCCACATTGATTTGTGTGGCCATGGAGGTTGCTAGAGAATGCCAAGGTCTGCCCTTGGCACTTGTGACTGTTGCACAAGCATTACGAGATAGAAACATAGAGGAGTGGAGAGCAGCACTCCAACAACTCAAAAAGTCTAAATCCGTCAGTATTGATGACACAGAAGAAAGTGTTTTTTCCTGTCTAAGATTGAGCTATGAGTATCTAAGAAGCGATGAAATGAAGTTACGCTTTTTGTTATGCTGTTTATTTCCCGAGGATCACAATATTCAAATTGAAGACCTGGCTACGTACAGCATGGGAAAACGGTGTTTGAGGGATGTGGATACAATGGAAGAAGCAAGAAGGAAAACCCATGAAATAATCATGCACCTTAAAGCTTCTTGTTTGTTGCTAGACAGCGATAAGGAAGGCTGCGTCAAAATGCACGATATGCTTCGTGATCTTGCCATCTCAATTGCATCTGCGGAGAACAATGCATTCTTGGTAAGAGCTGGTGTTGGTTTGAAGGAGTGGCCAACAAAGGAGACTTTTGACGAATACATGTGCATATCCCTGATGACTAACAATATAAAGAAGCTTCCTCAAGGATTGAAGTTCCCCAAACTCCAAATTTTGTTAATGGGCGAGAACGAGGGGTTTGAGGAGTTACCAGATGCTTGGTTAAGGGGAATGACAACACTTTGAGTGTTGGATCTGAGTGAAAGGGTAGGTTTTCGCTCATTGCTTCCAAGCAGCAATTCCATTTCAAGCAGCTCAGTGCTTCCAAGGTTATTGACACGACCTTCCTCATTACTTCCAGGTCATGATTCCATTTCAAGCAGTTCATTGCTTCCAAGGGTCTTGACACTACCTCCCTCACTCCAATTGTTGGTACACCTCCGAACCTTGAACTTGGACCGTTGCAAGTTAGGCAACATATCTGTACTGGGAAAACTTAAAAAGCTTGAAATTCTAAGCTTCTATGGTTCTGATATCAAAATTTTGCCAAGGGAAATAGGGGAACTCAGTAATCTGAAGCTGCTTGATCTCTCTTTCTGTCAGTATCTTCAAACGATTCCACCAAATGTGATCTCGCGTCTGTCACAACTAGAAGAACTGTATATGGGAGGCAGCTTTCATCGGTGGGCCATTGAAGGAACAAAAGAAGAAAGAACCAATGCTTGCCTATCTGAATTGATACCGTTGCTCCGATTAACCATTTTATGTGTTGAGCTAGAAAACATAGCATGTTTTCCCAAAGGCCTTCTCCTTCATAAATTACTCAAGTTTGAGGTAACAATTGGCCACGATTCAATTAAATGTTATCCAAACTCAAAAAGATTGTGCCTCAGAGAGATTAAAACCCCAATACCAAATGAGGTCAAGAACCAGTTTCAGTCAATTGAAGAGCTGACATTGTTTTGTTTGGAGGAAATTAATATTATCCCAGACCTTGATATATGGGGTTTAAATAGCTTGAAATATCTCACGGTAATCTCTTGCGAAAGCATGTTCTCACTTGTAAATACAAACGAATGCAGTCCACCAGTTATATTTGCAGCGTTGGAGGAACTGCACCTTCGGAATTTGGATAACCTGGATGTTATATGTCGTGGCTCACTTCCAACTGCTTCGCTTCAGAAACTATGAATTCTCAAGGTTGAAAGATGTTGTAAATTTGTCCCTTTTATTCTTACTTCCGAGGTGCTTGATATGTTACGAAGTCTTGAAGGAGTCACAATAGCAAGGTGTGAAAAGGTGATGAAGATATTTTGGCTTCCAATGGGCGAGGAAGAACACATGCCACTCTCTACTCTTAAAAAGTTGCGTTTAGAAGCTTTGCCTTCGTTGTTTTCCATATGGAATTCTTCCAAGTCGCTCGTAAGACTACAAAACCTAACAGTTGTAGAAATTAGAGATTGCAGATTTATAAAATTTATCTTCCCTCATTCCATTGCTCAAAGTCTACAACGACTCGAAATTCCCAAGATAAAAGGGTGCCAATTTTTGAAAAGAATTGTTCAAGGTGATCAAACCGACCATACTCAAGCTGTTGGTTTCCCAAACCTCAAAGTTCTTCAAGTGGAAGATTGCACGGATTTGACAAGTCTATTCTCAGTGACTACTGCACAGAGTCTTCGGCAGCTAAAAGAACTAACGATAGTCAAATGCGAACAGTTAGTGGAGATCATAAGCCATATAAAGGAAGGCGAAGAAGAAGAAGAAGAAAATGATGAGGACATTTTGTTGCCAAAAGTGCGTAGCTTCGAAGTCAGAGATTTGTCAAGCCTTAAAAGGCTTTGTTCGGAGAATTTTTGTGTTAATCTACCGGCCTTGAAAGAGTTGGTTGTGGACCGGTGTCCAATGATGGGGATGTTAGCTGCTGATGCCGCTGCTTATGGACTGCAGAGTGCATCCAAAACGATGAAAATACAAGTAGATGGGCAGACGCTGAGTGCCACAGCCGTCCAGAAAATCTTTAGTGGAAAGGTATGGATATTCTTAGTCAGCTCATCATTTCTTTTAGGCTTTAATTCTAAAGCATATTTTTTTCCAGGATTCTAGACTAATTAGACACATTAAACAGAACTGCTATTGACTTCTTTCTTCTTGTTGATATCTCAAGGGAAAAAGAAAAATCAACAAGCACAGAAAATCCAAGGAAATTAAGCCTCTCCTCAGATATGGTAGTTGAAGCAAGAGGAAGATCTAGCTTCCGCGAAGAATCCGCAGTTAACCACAGGTAGTGATGACTATCTTGTTCATATGGGTACAGATTTTTAATAACCAAAAGACCATCTTCTTAGAGATGTTTGACCTAATGTAAGCTTCTAATTCAGTGAACGCAGTCAATCAATCAGATGAGGAGCCAGTTCTGTCAAGTTGTTCTCCTGGTAATGCTCACTTATTTCAGGGATGTTGCACAAAAGGCTGTCATATATTTATCTTAGTTTTTCAGCACAATCTATTGCTTTGCTTTAGCTCTGCAGCTCTTCTCCATCACTCCACTATTACTAGGGCTACACAAGGGTCATCACCCGCTACTGAACCATGGAACCTTAAATCCAACAGGTGAGTCCGATCAGATCGGCACAGCTCAAGGTGGTTTGGGGGGTTGGGCAGCTTTTTGCACAGCCCTAGCTATTACTACTGATGCTGGTGCCCTTTGTTGCTCCAAAATTGTAGAAGTTATGTTCGTGTGTGTGTGCTGCCAAGCTTTAGCGGCACATATGCGTCTTCGCTAGTGTGGAAGTGTTTAAGCTCTCCTCGGTGAAGACCTGTGTGTGGCAATCTTGTTTTGTATATCCTATGATTGATGTGTAAATTGGAATAATATGTAGTTGATGACTTGTATAGTTTTATTTCGTTGTGTTGATTTATCAGCCAGAGTATATTATGCATTCAAGCAGTAATCTAATAGCTAAGTCTAAGTGTTGGGTGGCTAGTAGAGCTAGACATCAGAATTTTATAGAGGCCGAGGATATAAACGTCAGAATGCGATCAAGAGCTTTGAACTTTAGTGAAGGATTTTGATAATTTACAAATATGTTGTATCAAACTGAACATTAGACATTCAACTATGTAAGAAAATTTAACAATATATAATCACAACAATTATAACGTCATACTATTTAAAAAAACCTAACGACACACAATCACAAACAAACAACCAGCTCAATAATTACAACTACATCATCCCCTTAAAGAGAAGTGGAATTGTGATGTTACATGGTTCAAGTGAGTCCTCTCCCAATTATCTTGCAGACTTAAAATACCACTGTATTATGCTAACAAGCATCTTCCCTTTTTTTTCTTTTTCTTTTTTCTGATGGTGGAGAATTTATAGGACCCGGACCAAAATCAGGAACCTGGAAGAAAAGGAAATCTTAAGTTGGCATGATACTGGCCAAAGACCCCTCCAATAATTAAGTCGGAAGATAATTCTTGAAGAAAAGAGCTAGGGTAAACATAAAAGAACCAAGTGGATTGGCTTACCTTGAGTGGTTGCTCAATTGATTTCTTATAGCAGTTTTTGGTGCGATTTGCTAGGGATTTTCCCATTGTCCTCAACTGTGAAGCTTTAATTGTAGGCAGAGATTCCATACACTAAATAAGGGAATCAGTTATGATGCAACTTCCTCTGCCATATGTGCGTGGTCAGGCTTCACTGATTGGGTCTTCCCGAGCGAGTGAACCTTTGCTGAATGAGCTGGGAAATGCTCTTGCCGACCTGGCCTAGCTCACTTACAAACATGCCAACCCAAACTTATCTGGATCAAATATCTACTCATCTTGCCGACCATGAACACCATGGGTCACCCATTTTTTCCTTGGACTCTTGTTTAGGCTTAAGATCCAGGGACTCAGGACAACATCAAGCAACTTCATTACCAAAGGACTACTGGGAGCTCTGTTTTGATGCACCATGCCTGAATATATCACCATGCTTAAAAACAATAATTCAAATGCTGGTTTCAACACCCACTGGCCCACAATCGTGGTTTCCTGAAGAATGTGAACTTCTATAATCAATAGAACAACATATTTGGTGAAACAAAAGAGCAGTTCCTTGAGAAGCATCTACCACGTGCTCAATCCCGTGAACAAGCACATAAGCAAGGCGAATCAATTTCTCTTCCCATATTCAATTATGCAAAAGGGGTTAATGTGCATACATATAGAGAGATGCAACCAATGGATGGAGTTGTAGAATGATTTTGAAGGTCACTGACCTCACTAACAAATGAAGAGACGCAATCTTAATTAGCAATTACGTTATAGTTGGCTGCTATACTAGCACGGAAATTCTAGATAAAACCAATATGCACCTTAGAATAACCAGATCAATCATGTTTTCCAAGCAAGTTCTGGGATTGAATTGAATGCAAGTTCTGGGATTGAATTGAATGCAATTTCTGAATAAAAATGGATGCCTACTTAGCTAGGGAGATAAAATACAGTCAATCCTGAGGTTCTACCGAACACCGAACAGAAAGCCCCAAAACCAAAGTTTCAGCGACTCAAAAAACCAAGTAGTCAAATTCACTTTCTATAGTTAGCAAAATCGAGCTTGAGTTAAAGGCTCATCCTAGAGAGGTTTTGCTTAATCTTTCATCCTTGCATCGCCTTTGATCTCCTATCATGGACTCAAAAACATCCAACAGATTGTCCAACCCATCACTCTCATCCCCTACCGCCTTCAATGTGTATACAATGCTCTCAATCGTGGACAAACATCCAACCCTAGGCTGCCGCCTCACATCACTATACAAGCTCATTTTATCTAAATCCAACTTCAGAAGAGGCAAAAGCTTCAACCAAGGGTTCTCCTTGTACATCCTCTTGGCCTTGGACCAAGTTCCATCCAAGACAATCAAATTCCTCACCTTGAAATCTATAGCCTCAATGCCAACTGATTTTTCACTTGGGAAAAGAAGAACCGATCCAGGAGGAACCGCGATTTCAAACTCTTCAAATTCTTCAATTTTGATGCTCCCATTCAGTTGTTTGCTCTGCCACTTCTTCACAACAAACCCTTTGGATAAAGCATCGAGGACTGCGGGAGAAGCCAAAAGCAGATCAAAATTAAGGTTCTGAGATTGAGTTTGTGGCATCAAATTATGCACAAAAGAGCTAATGACACCATATTTTCCAATAGTGAAAGTGATGAGAGGTCCCTCAACACCTCTTGGGACCTCTCCAATGTGATGAATCCCCAACCGAATTCGCTTGTTCTTGTGCACACTATCAAATTCACTACTCAAATCAGGCTCAACAGGCTTGGAATTTCCCTCTTCTGAATCCACAGACCCTCTTTTCGAAGTAGACCCATCAATTTTATCAAAGACTCCATTTTGGGTTAGTTCAAAATCAGAAACATTATCAAAATATGAACTTTTCGAACCCATTTCAGAATCCAATTCCAGAGACCGGATGACGAACCGGGCTTCGAAATTCACATCGGAAACTGACGTAACATTGAGATTCTTGAGCCCTAGGGTCGCGATTCGGGTGGAATTGAGAGGGTGGTTTCGCTCGAGACTGTGTTGGAAAATGGTGACACCGACCGAGTTGTTGAGACTAGGGGTCTTGATTCGAATGCACAAGCAGAGACGCGAGGGTTTCGAACAGGAAGGGCATGTGGGTCTCTTGGAGGAGGACTCGGTCGCCATTACTAGAGCTGGGTTTAGGGTTTGAGACAGTTTGGATCTTGTTTGGCTGCAGAGAGGGTTGAGAAAGGAAGAGAGAGAATTGTTTGTTGCGTGCGAGTGAATTCGTGTCCGAAAATAGAACGACATTTGTACGTGGGACATTAGGATTGAAATTTTTAGATGGAGATTTATAGGAAAATGATTGGTGGCCCTAAAAAATTTGCCCCTAATGCCCCTAATTTTCATTTTTGGAAACTGTTTCTTTTTTTCTTTCTTTTTTCCTTTTTTTTTTTTTTTTTTTTTACTAAAAGTGGAATTTCGGGGCATTCGAGCCCCGAAATTTAGGGCCCTCAATCACTTCCGTAAAAAAAAATAAACAAATAAATAAACAAACAAACTGACACAACACATATTATAGAGTATTTTAAGGAGTTAGTAAAAAGTTGACTTTTGATTTTTTATCAAATTTTTTGACTTTTTTGAAAGTAATTTGAGAAGTTGGTAAAAAATTGATTTTTTTTATTTTTGGTTTAATATTTATTTATGGCATCAAATCAAAATAGAATGACCAATATACCCTTGCCAAACTTTGAAATTTTAGATAATTTGTTAACATGGAGGGTATTTAGGTAATTTCACAAGACAGCTTTTTTGTCACTTGTCAAATACAACAGCTGGCGTTTTCGGCAAAGCGGCTTTTTTTTCACAAGCCAAAAACGCTGGCTTCTTCCCAAAATGACACTATGGCAGTGGGTCGGGTGAGATCCACTGCCACATCATTAATGGTAGCTCTAACTAGAGCCCCCACTCATTTCATACTTTCATAAACATATTATTATAGATGAGGACATAACTTAGTGGTAATAATTCTTTAATTAGTTTTTAAAGAATTTTTTTGACTTTTTTAATTTAAATTTTTTTTATTCGTTTGATATTTTTGATTAATTTTTTTAACATTTTAACTTTGGAATTGTGAAATTTTTTTTGTCTTTTGTGATTTTTTGTCCTTCAAAGCTGCTACAGACCTCGAATATAATTGGCGCGAATGGCGCGAATGAAGCGATTTATCCATTCATCACGCACAGCAATACCAGTGGATTTCACGCTCTGCTTCTTGGGAGATAGAAAGACCACGACGTAGCTGGCGACGATGATGACGACCTAGAAGACCACCGATGACCATTGACCACTCTCCAATTCCTCCGATTTCACTGAAAATTTCGGCTCCACCACCAACAACGAACTGATTCGTGGGTCACTGGTCTTCTTTCAAACATTGACATTTGCTTTACATTGGTTGAAATCTGGTTGGTCTATGATTTTGCTCATATTTTCTTTACATTGGTTGTAATCTTCTTGGTCCATAACAAGATTTTGGTATTTTTGTATTGATGCATTGTATGTGTTTGTTGAAAGTCCACATAGAAAGAATATGTAGAATTTCTGAGGCCAAGATGCTCTGTGTTTGTGTTAGAATTTCTGAAGCAGAATCCAATAGTATATCCAAGGAACCATTGTCTCTATGACTATGAACCCCTCACCATTCTTCTTCTTGTTTGGTTCTGATCCCACCTAACTTATTTGCTTCCATCTTGACAATTGCTAAATGAACCAAAGTCTATATAGAATTCTATGACCACATTTTTTGTCATTTTCTGAACATTCATTGAACAAAATCTGTTACCCATTATGAATTTTGTTTTTTGTTTACATACGTATCCATTATGAATTTTGTTTTTTGAACAGAATATGTTATCCATTATTTTCTTTACATATGTGTTTTTTTGTTTTTGTTTTTTGTTTACATACGTATCCATTATGAATTTTGTTTTTTGAACATAATATGTTATCCATTATTTTCTTTACATATGTATTTTTTTGTTTTTCTTGCTCTGTTTCATTATGAATTTTCCATGCCAATTATTTGTTGTTTTTCTTGCTCTATTTTGTTTCATTGTGAATTTTTCATGGATTATTGAAACCTTCTCCAAGCTTAACATTATTGGTTTGTTATTCATTGTGAAGCTATTATCCATTTTCTTATTGAGAGGCCCATTTTCTTCAAATAAATGATGGAAGGTTCAAACAATCCTAGTCAGGAAGGTGAAGAACCTGAGAGTGGTGAAGTTGAAGAACCAAAGCAGGGGATGTGTTTTACTTCAAAGCAAGAAGTGTATGCATTTTATGCAAAATATGCGAAGCACTTTGGATTTGCTATAGCTTATGGAACACAAAATTATGATAATGATGGGGAACTAAAATACTTTGGAATTGAATGTACTCGAGCAAGGATGAGAAGAAAAAGATCGAAAGTGAACCCGCTAGAACCATCTTTGTCATCTAAAAATGATTGTAAAGCAAAAGTAAGAGGGAGTCTACAAAAGGATGGAACATTTAAGTTGACAACCGTTGTGCTGGAGCATACTCACGACTTGGTTCCTAGTGACTCACGGCATTTTTCAATGAATAAGAGAATTCTAACTCCTGTGAAAAGAAGATTAGAAATAAATGATGAGGCAGGGATAGGAGTGGCTAGGAATTTTCATTCTATGGTTGTTGAAGCGGGGGGATTTGAGGCATTAACATTTGACGAACGAGATGCCAGGAATCACATTGACAAGGCTAGAAGATTGAGGCTTGGAGTAGGAGATGCCGAATCAGTTGCGTTTTATTTTCATAGGATGCAACAACAAAATTCGAACTTCTACTCTGAAATGGACTTTGATGGAGAAGGACGCTTGCGGAACTTATTTTGGGCAGATGCAAGGAGTAGGGCAGCTTATAAAGCATTTGGAGATGTTGTCACATTTGACACAACCTATCTGACAAACAAATATGACATGCCGTTTGCTCCATTTGTAGGAGTTAATCACCATGGGCAGTCAATTTTGTTTGGTTGTGGGTTGTTATGTAATGAGAACACTGAGACATTTGTATGGCTATTCAGAGCTTGGTTAAGTTGCATGTCAAACACTCCTCTGAATGCTATAATAACTGACCAGTGCAAAGCTATGCAAAATGCCATACAAATTGTCTTCCCACAAGCTCGACATCGTTGGTGTTTATGGCATATACTGAAGAAAATTCCAGAAAAATTGAGAGCATGTTCGCAATATGAATCCATAAAGTTTGCTTTGCAAAAGGCAGTTTATGAGTCTTTCACAAAAAATGAATTTGATGAAGAATGGCAAGCAATGATTTCAAAGTTTGGTCTACATGATAACGATTGGTTGGGGGGATTATATGATGAGCGACATAGGTGGATTCCTGCCTATGTGAAAGACATGTTTTGGGCTGGTATGTCAACCACACAACGAAGTAAGAGTATGAATGCATTTTTTGATGGATATGTCAACTCGAAAACTACTTTAAAGCAATTTGTTGAGCAGTATGACAATGCCTTAAGAAGTTAGGTGGAGAAAGAGGCCAAAGCAGATTTTAAATCTCGAAACAAATTGTATAATTGCCTAACGATGTATGCTTTTGAGAAGCAATTTCGTGCAGCATACACAAACGCAAAATTTAAAGAGGTTCAAGTAGAAATGAAACGATTATTGTATTGTCGTGCGACTCTTGTGGAAGAGAAAGGATCAATTTGTACTTATCATGTGAAAGAGGCTATTCCAGTTGGTGAGCAAATGAAGAAAGTGGAATTTGTTGTGTACTGTAATTCCATTGAATGTGACATCCAATGTATGTGTCGGTGGTTTGAATTTAGGGGCATCATGTGTGCCCATTCACTTAGTGTGCTCCTTGAGAGGTCCACATATGAGGTTCCGGATAAGTACATTGTGCAGAGGTGGAGAAAAGATTTGGAAAGAGGGTACACATGCATTCCTACCACATACACTACATATGGGGTTGTTCTGAATGCAAAGGTACATGATAACTACCACAAGACAATGGATGAAATTATAGAAATTGCTTCCAACGATGATGCTAAGCACAAAGTCATTCAACTTGGGTTAATAGAAATCAAGGATAGACTGAGACAGGTTGAGGCCGGTTGTGCGAGTAATTTGCCACCTTCTACTAGTGGTGTCCCATATTCTACTAGTACTGTCCAACCTTCTAATACTTCCCCCAAAACTCAGGCCGGTCGTAGTTCTACAAATGCAAGCATGACTCACAAGGTGCTTAGTCCTATGGTTGCTCGCCGAAGAGGTCATCCATGTACAAAACGGAAAGTTAGCAAAGTGGATGAAATAGTAAATCGGTTGAAGGGGAAGAATAAAAGGGCATCAAAAGTACAAGTAAAATTTTTATTTTGTTTGATATGTAAATCTCAAAATTTTGTTTACTTCAATCACTCACCAATGTGTGTTCCTATAGGGTCGTAAGTTGAATTTTGCTTCTATGGATGGAATGCAAGCGAGTCTGTGTATTGATGGCACACAGGAGAGTATGTACGTACCGGTATGTTTTAAACATATGACATGAAATTTTTTTTCCTTATTTTCATTTGTAGATATATTTGTGAATTTCTTCATATTATTTACTTTGTCATTGAATAGGCACAAGGTAGCCCAATGCAAATGATGGATAATATTGGAAGCGGATCTGTTAGTCATTCACAAATGGTCACCAATATAAGCAGTCAAAGTGGACCAATTGGTTCAAAATTTATTGAGTTGAATATAGATGTGGATCCAAATGCCCCTTTCTATTTCTAGTTTTTTAGTAGTTATTGTAAGACTTTGTTTTGTAAACTTTCAATCAAGTCTCATATAGTTTAAAGTGATTTTGGATCCAATCAAGTCTCATATGGAGCTGTTTTGTCAAGTTCTGTTACAGGTCTGAGCATAGCTTCCTGGTTGGTACTTTTCTACTCTGCTGAGCATCTGCTGCACTGCTATACTTTGATCCTCATCTGCTATGCTGCCTGCTGTTCTGCTGTGCTGCTATAGGCTTTGTTCTGCTGTGTTCTGTGCTGCTGCGGATCTGTTGTGCTGTGTTGCGTTGTGCTGTGTTGTGCTGTCTCATATTGTGCTGTGCTATGTTGTGTTTAGGTTCCCTATTGAACAGCTTGTCTTCTTGCTGGATAAATGTTTTTAGAGCAATGAATTTTTGGGGGAAAGGTTGAATGCATAATCTCTTTTTAATGCATTTCCTGTTTTTAGGTGCTGTGAATTTTTTAGAGCTGTGAATTTTTTAGAGCAGTGAATTTTTTAGTATGAATGCATTTCCTCTTTATTGGTTACTTGCTCTTGGCCTGTGCATGTTTGGCTGTTATTCTGGGTTTTTGGCTTGAGAATGATGCAAATTTTTTGGACCATTCTGCATGTCTTGAGCCAATTGGTGATTGTTGTCCAGCATTCTTTAAGGGTACAAGTTCTTGGCATCTCTCTTTCTATCTCTGTAAATTCACAGAACTTGATCCACATAGCCCACCCAGGAGCACTGAGATTAGATTAGAAAATAATAATGAAATGAAGGTGGCATTACCTATGATTTTTAGATTGTATTAGAACAAAATCCAAAACAACTTCAAAACTCCTACCATCTGCCTCTTCTACATATCACTCAAATATGATTCATGATAATAATAACAGATGATTGAAGTTAGATGTGATGATCATTGATCAGAGGCACAATAATATATAAATTAAATATCACACCATAATATATAAATTAAATCCTTCACATATTAAATTGGTTTTTCAGAATCTTTTTGTTTACACCATTTTTTCCTTTCTTTATTTCAGAATTTCAGTTCAAAAATAAGACAAGGCAGCCTCTAAGCTACTTCCTTGAGCATATAACCCAAAAGGAGAAGAACACAAAACCAGCACAATAACATTTACAACCAAACAAAAACTCCATTGTTGCTTTGCCATAGAAGGTTCAATTCCTTACAAAACCAGCATAATAACTTGTACACCCAAATGTATAAGTTTACGACATTCATTTTAACATTAAACAAATTACAAGCATTAGCATGTTAAAACCAGTACACACTATGCTTGCCATTGTAAGGAATTTCATAGTTCCTACATTTGCCTCAAGCTGCTCCAATCTTCGCTCCAATCTTCGCTCCAATTTGTCCAAAGCTTCATAGTTTCTTTCAGCATCATTCTTCCAGTCATCTTCATTGTTCCTCTGACTAGGATTAGGCCTCCATTGGATATCCGTTGCATTGCCATGTTGGCTAGTAGACGCCCACCATGCAAAGAAATCGCATTTGCCATCTGCACACTTGAAATAAAGCCTCCCTGGATTTTTCACTGAGTTTGATATCTTAACGGCTGCTTTTTTCTCACATTTGCAACGTCGATTTTCAAAAAGGCGACCATCATTGCTTGAACTAGTCGAGGTGTAAGCCATTGACATGTTACTCCTAACAGTAGCATTTTCATAAATAAGTAGTACATTAGTCATCAAAAACAAAAACAAAAACAACAATAATAATGTGAAATGGCCCATGGAAGCACAAAACATTTCATTGAGGCATTTTATCATACACTTTCAATTCTCACACATGCCTTCAATTCATCATTTCAATAGGTTGATTTTTCTTCCAAAAACACAACACATTTCAGCATGTTGATGCATTACTAACAAGTTTACATTTTTTTTTACATACTGAATTTTATCATTCATTTTCTTACATGAATGAGAGGTCCATTTTCTTACATGAATGAGAGGTCCATTTTCTTACATGAATGAGAGGTCCATTTTCTTACATGAATGAGAGGTCCATTTTCTTACATGAATGAGAGGTCCATTTTCTTACATGAATGAGAGGTCCATTTTCTTACATGAATGAGAGGTCCATTTTCTTACATGAATGAGAGGTCCATTTTCTTACATGAATGAGAGGTCCATTACTAACAAGTCTACTGGACCTCTTTGTAGACAACTCCACTGTTAACAAGTCCAGAACAAGAAGTAATGGGCATGGAAAGAAAATCCATGTACCAAAATTCACAATGAAACAAAGCTTGGAAGAAAACAGAGCAAGAAAATTCATGTACCAAAATTCATGTACCAAGAACTCTACTGTTAAGCTTGGAAGAAAACAGAGCAAGAAAATTCATGTACCAAAATTCATGTACCAAGAACTCTACTGTTAAGCTTGGAAGAAAACAGAGTAAGAAAATTCATGTACCAAAATTCACAATGAATAAAATTTGGGTATCTACGGCTTGATCAGAACATATAATACGGTTATCGAAAATTCATCGATAATGGGAGGATTTTCGATAATGGGAGGAACATATATTATTTTGGTAGGGAGGATTTAAAAATATGTTCGATAAATATGTTCTGAGCAAGAAAATCCTACCAAAATAATGGGAGGATTTAAAAATACAAATTTTTTTGAAAAATCACACAGCTACGTCGCCGGAAAAGGATTAATAAAAATCAAAAATAAAAAAATCTGACATTTTCTTGCTTGTCAATGAAGGAGATTTGGGGATCTAGGGCTTAGGAATGGAGAAGATTTGGGTATCTACGGCTTGGGTAAACAAAGCTTCGTCGTCGAAAAACGCCTACAAACCTCCACCGCCGGCCAATGGGTTGGCTGAATTTAGGACCGAATCAGTTTATGGGTTTCAATAGAGAGAGATGGAAGCTTCATTTTTGGGTTTGAGCCTTGTTAATGGGTTTGTGGGGTTGAATACCGTAAAGTATAAGAGAGGGAGCGTGAATCACACGCGTCGAGGCATTCGCGCCTCACTTTGTCGAGGCACCAATCTTTTTCCTTTGTCCTTTTATATTTTTTGATTTTTTTTGTCATTTTGTGATTTTTTAATCTAACACAAAAACCAAACAACCCCTTAATATCTAATACTGTAGTATTTTCTTCTTTTATCAAGTGATAAATTTTTTTATTTTAAAATAAAAAAAAATTATTATTCAAAGACATAAGCAATTATGCATCAAAAAATATTATTCACAAAACATATTATCCATTTTGACAATATACACCTTATAATATTAATTTATTTATTATTTATTTTTATATTTATTTATTTAAATTAGATAGGCATTGCATGTGCCACTGTAGACAAGCCCGCGGGGGACCTCGCCACAGCTTGGACTCGATTTGTAGTCACGGTTCTAAGTCTGAACCAAAGAGTCCAAATCCGG